CGCAGTCCACGGTTTTTGGCAAGAATAAATAATCCCATGGTTATATACTACATTCTGTCATTAATATAAAAGTTTATTTAATTTTTATTTTAATCATAAATATAAGATTATAATCTATTTTATCTCTTATATTTATCCATTTTTTTAAAGGTAGGCTTTGTAATGGTAATTCTAACTAATATATTTGATTAGTACGGATATTTTAAAAAAGATAATATTCATTTATTATAAATAATTAACTTAACTAGTTTTCTTAATGTACTTAAATTTATCAATCAACTCTTATACTGAGAATCGGAGGGAGCATTATTTTTATGTGGATTAAGTTAATAAAAATAATAAGTCAATTAAAATTTCAGATAATTATAAAATCAACCTGCATCTCGCAATAAATCAACAAAGTCAGACGTATAAAATTGATTAATATTCTTTTTTATAAAAAAGGATTTTGTTGGGACGGGCTGGTAGTATATTGCTTGATGATTAGGCTGGCTTTCTGAACATCCATACTCAGCGATGAATATTTATTTTCGTCATTTTTCTTTTCATTTAAAAGCACAAGAAAACATATTTTGTGCCGAACTCAAAATTACGACCTCGTTATTTCGATTCCGTTTATGTTACGCTATACACTGTGCATGAGATTGAGAGGTCTGTTTAATGTTGCAGGAACCGTAAGCGCACTACCTAAGGCAGTGACCATTCGCCCCACCAACGAAATGTTCTCCCCCCCCCCCCCCCCCCGGCCGGCGGCCAAAAAAAAAAAAATCTAACACATGCTTTCCACGAAAAGCACATAATTTCACTGCTCCGAATCAAATGCCGAGGTTGCATCACTAATCATTAGGCTCGTTTTTCATGCTTCGTACATTAAAGTCCCCGCCGGGGGGCCCAAATTATTTATACATCCGAATTAAGTGGACACAGGAATGACTTTTCTTCTTTTTACTGTATAACTTAAGACGCAGTTAATAATGAATGTTTCATAATTAAATGGTCCCATTACTCCCGCAATCAATTCACTGTATGACTCAAAAGAAACCCACAACTGTTCTTCCTTTCATTTCTCCGCCCACCCCCCAAAAATACCCCATGGCTTCTTGTTATAAACTTTAAATAATTAATTTATGAATAGCAAACCATCAGTCTTAACTAGTTAAAAATGACAGATAAAGTAAAAATAAACTTTTATTTTTAAATATTCTCTTATAATAAATGAAAAAAATAATAAAAGAGAATACATGAAAAATGTAATAACAGAAAAATAATTAAGGATAACTTCAAAAAATACATTGAATGTTAAGACAACGTTAAATTGAAACTAATAAAATAAACCACACCCATTCTCAAATTTGAAGCTTATAAATGGGGTTGAAGGGAGTATATTACTCCCTCCATCCTTAATATAAAAACTAATTTCACTTTTATTTTTATAATAAACATAAGACCTCAGTTTACTTTTTCTTTCATATTTATCAATTAGTTTTCCAAGCTAGTTCTTGAGTAATAATAGTTCTAGCTAATACACCTGATTAACAAGGACATTTTATGAAATACAACACTTGTTTATTGCAAATAAATAACTTAATTAATTTTTTAATCTGATCAAATTAGTTAATTGACTCTTATATTAAAAAATGAACGTAATATCTCTTATCCTTAATATAAAAGTTAGATAATTAATCTATAAATAATAAATAAATTAATAAGGTTAATTATTTGTAATTAATATATTCTGACTTTTCCGAACTTTTCTTGTTAATCATACGTGTTAAAATAAAAACCCTTTAACATATAAAAACCATTTTATTCTGTGTTTATATTTAAGACCACAGGTAATATATAAAAGAACCTACGTGACAAAAACAATGCATTGGCGCAAGTTCAAAAAGTGTAATTATGCATCACAGCCTATCCTCAAAGTCGCGCATCATGATGATCGTGATCTCAGATTGAAGTACGTAGATGCCATCTTTTTCAGAGTAGGATGTGTGGAAACATGCTGTCCCAAATAATCCGCTTGATTAAGTGAATTTAATTTAATCTTGATAACAGCACTTATGTCCTGCTTTTTAGGGGCAAAGCTCCCATTTTTATCAAGCTATAGCCTTATTTAGCATCTATGTGTTTTTTTTTAATTAAATCAATTAGTTTTATTTTTTCAGCGGCACTAACTTTTATAACTCTGTTGTATTAGCATTTTAGTCTCTATGCAAAGGCAGATGATATTAATAGATATTAACAAACTTACCATTTTAGTCTCTAGTAAAATTAAAAATTTAATTAAGAAAAAACATATAGTTACCAAATTAAAAATTAAAAAAAATAAGTAACTCCATAATGATTTTTCTTGTTATTTAATTAATTAATACTAACCACTGTTCCAATATTTGGGGCCCATTGTGTCATGGGCCCATGAAGCCCATTCTCTTATCCCCTTTGAACCAGTCAAACCATTAGGTCCAGGTCCAACACTTCGTGGCAAAGATCACTGCGATCAATCGTTGCGAGTGATTTTTCCCCTGTTTATTAAAACAAAAGGCCTATGAGATGTACACGCTACTGAGCATATGCATATGGGATGATATCTAGATATAATAATTAAGGCAGTGATTGGTGGATGTGTCCGATCCTTGATATCCAAATTCTCGCGATCCTAAATGACTAAGGGGATGTTTGGATAGAAACCAAAACATAGTTTTAGAAGTGATCTTACGGATTACGAAGTAAATATGTGAAAGAAACTGTCTCGTTTTACGAAAAAGTGCTTCTGAAACTACAATTTTGAGAATGCCAAACACCCCCTAATAGTCCGCACGATTGCCATATTTGCAAGTCGAACTCCTCGCAACCACACCCCGGCTCTGTAACAGTTAAAAACACGGTTGCCCAAATTTCATCGGCCTCGAAATGGCCTTTAAGCATTTATTGATGTTTCTTGAAAAACATATAAAACATAACCACCCAATTGTAATAGTGATATCATGCTACTTCTTCATTATTTATATTTCAGCAGGTAATTATCTGGGAGCATAGTTATTAAAGTAAGATGTTCCGGCTTGCTGATATGCTATCCACAGTTATTAATATAAAAACTAATTAATCTATTTGAATAGACTAAGAAAATTAATTAAATAAGTTATTTATAATAAATAAGTACTATTATATTTCATAAAATATTTTTACTCATTAAGTTTATTAGCATTTGAGAAAACTTTTCACATGTGTAATCATTACAAAGATTATATTAAAATATAAAAAACAAAATAAATTAGAACTTTATATTTAAAACTAAATAAATTAAATTAGACGGGTCTTTGATGAGTTTGTGACAAACAAAAAAGCCGCAGTGCGTATCCTAACAAATCCTGTAGCCAATATGCTGCTTTATCTAAATCTAAGTGGCCGCATAAAAAAGATTTGACCGCTTTGATCAATGATTTTTTTTTTTGGCTGGGAGCCACTTTGATTAATGACTGTCAAAATAGATTTTTTTCAAAATATTACCCAAATCAAATATCTTAGAAATAATCTATAAATATGGTGGACAAAAATTCAAAAATATGAGATGATTATTAAATAAAAATCAAATTTAGAAGGGGGAAGTCGGGTCAAAACGCGGAGTCGTCCGTTTTATACAGAAAAGACGCAAGGCGTTCGTTTGATTTGCAAAGCGGTGGGCGGCGTCGTTGGCTACACTGCCGTTTGATTATTTGCCTATCAATTCGCTGTCGAATCACCCACCTCGCACGTGGACCTGGGGCCGACGCCTCCCCTTCTTCATCTTCCAATTTAACGGCCACGATTTCTTGAATCTCATACGGACAAGGTGTGCGAAAGAGTGCCCGGTAATTTCTTGCCGGAGATGTATTATTGTTAAGCATCTCATTGCCACAGGGGCATATTAGTCCATTGCAAAAGTCCCATGCCAAATGGTTTACATGCGAGTTTCTCTTTCCATTCTTTTCAGTTTTTTCTGTTTTTTCTTCCTAGCGGTACCAGTGGCTTCTGATCTTTTTGGGGGCGGGGCGGTTGTATACACTGGCTCTCAATATAAGAGTTATTTGTCTGATTTTATTTATAAGGTATTTTTAACATATTTTATATGGATTAAGGAAAACTTTAAATTTCATTAACTCTCATTTAAAATATAATAAATTTTTAACTTTATCCCTATTTAATATGCATTATACCTCATATAAACAAAGTTAACACAATAATAAATGAGGGGTACAATTATACATCCATATAAAAAATTTCTCTCAGTGTCTTATAAATAGGACCAAAAAATACATCTCTCTCTGCCTTATAAATAGGACCAGAGGAGTATCTAATTTGAACAGATTAAAAAGATTAATTATATTAGTTATTTATAATAAATGGATATTATTTTTTAAAAATATAATTACTAATAAAGTTTATTGACTAAAACTCTTATTATTATAAAGACTATTATAAAAAAATAAATAAATATGAGATACAAAGTGAATTGAGATTTTATATTTAAAACTAAAATAAAAGTTAAATAAGACGGGAAATAGTAGTGGCACGTTTTTTTTAACATGCTTAGTAAATTATGTAAACAAATCAAATATATTAAATTATAATATTAATCACAGATCAGATTAATTAAATTAGCTGCCTCCAAAAATATCAATAGCAAATTTATTTTTTCACTTTTAATAATATTTTCCGTCGTTCTAACTGTTGGATTGGATGCTATCCTGCTATTAATTTTTCCTCAACAAAAATTTTAATAAATTATGTAGAAGGATGATATTTTCAAATTTGTTGATGATTGAACACTACCGCTTCATCATTATGTCAAGAGTTGATCAATAAATTATTGCGTGAAATTATTTTTATTAAAAATAAAATTTAATTAATCGCCAAGAGAAAAAACGAGAGTAATTAAGGATGATGGGATACAGTTTGAACGTCCTGAGGGTGGGATGGCTATTTTGGTAATTATGGAGCGAGACCTGCAAGAGGCCGCAGAGATGCGGACGCCATTTGAACGTTCTCACAACTATAGCTCAATGTGAAAGTGCATAAAATTAAAACCAAAAGCCAAAACCCCCAGTGGCCGAAAGGAACATTTCCTTGATATTGCAAAATAAATTCATCTTTTCCGGTGATTTTGTTCCTCCTCTCGCAGGTACGAATTAAATCTGTTATTTATACATCTCCTTCTCTCTCCTCCTCTGCAGCTTTTGCCCTTCCAAAGATTCCCACTTCAACTCTATGTTGTCTCAGGTTTGAATTTAAAATTAAATCGTTTGTTTTCTCTACTTGTATGCCCAATTGCTCTGGTTTTGATTTAGATGATTGTTCGCCTTATGTGGAAGGGCCTTTCCTCCGTTGAAATTTTTGGGAAATTAAATTATGCCTGCCCCCCCTTTTTTTGAAACAATTGATCAAATTGATGAACAGTATTATTCTCTTCTGCTGGCGTAATTACGCATATGTTATGAGGAAACATATCATGGGATCTTGGAGAATTAATTTCTATATTATGTGTCTGCTAAACCAGATCCGTGATAGAAACAAGTTGTTAAATGTTGCTAATTTCCCATTAGGCAGCTATAATTTTATTAGCCCTTTTGTGTTGGGCTAAAGGGGGAGGCAATCGGATTGAACAATCCTGGAAATTTTAATGATAGGATGCGATTTGATATTTTGATGGTTTTGACGAATTTTTGTGCTCCTGCCTTTGAATGAGGTTGTAATATATTTGCGTTCGTTTATTTGTTTGTGCTTGAGAACAGATGGTAAGGGGGGGAAAGGTTGGGGGCAAACGCAATTTCAGAAAAAGGGTTCGGTCAAAGGAAGGGGGTTCTGATGATTCGGATGAGGACTATGTGGTTCCAGATGAAGATAGGGATTTATCTGATTGTTCGGAGGATTCAGTATCTTCTTTAGATGGATGTGAATCAGAGGAGAATTTTGATAACTTTGTAGAGGACGAGGAGGAGGAGGAAATTGGAATAAGGAGGAAATTCAATAGATCCAAGACAAAAAATGGCATTTGTGGTCGGCAGAAAATTGGCAGGAAACCCTCACAACAGAGAGGAAGGATAACTTGCTCACATAACCTAGAAGAAGAAGAAGAAGAAGAAGAAGAAGAAGAACAAGAACAAGAACAAGAACAAGAACAAGAACAAGAAGAGGAGGATGATGAAGAGACAGATGAATATGAGGAAGATGATGGCGATGAAGATTTTGATTGTGATGAGGATGAGGAATTTACACCTGAGGAAGAAGATTACTCAGACGAAGAAGAAATAAAGGGGAGAAAGAAGAAAAGTAATGGCATTAAAATGGACAAGAAGGTGGGGCAGAAGCGGGCCTCTGTAACTTATACCAGAGGTCGTAAAAGAAGAAGAAATTCTAGGGCGGCAAGGAAGCCCTTGAGAAAGAAGAGAAGAAAGAATGGAGGGTTGAGGAGGAAAGCAAAGTATGATGATGAGGGTGACTTCATAGATAATGGTCGTACCATCAGAACCAAGAGTAAGAAAAAACCAGGACGAAAAAGGAGAAGACTAATTGTTGACTCAGATTCGTACTCAGATTGTGTGTCATCTAGATCATCTGATTATGATTATACCATCTCTGAAGAAGAGAGAGAACAGGTGAGAGAAGCTGAGGAATTGTATGGAAGTTTGAGAACTAATTTGAGGAGTTCATCCCTTCTGACAAAAAATGAAGAGGATGGAGTCCATGAAGATCTACATCAGCAAAGAAAGCCTCCGGCCCGGAAAGGTAAGGAAAAGATAGAGGAACCTCAGGGAAGAAAGGGCAAGGACAAGGTAGAGGATTTGAAAAGTGAGCCAGGAAAGCAGGTTTGTGGAATTTGTCTCTCTGAAGAAGATAAAAGAAGAGTAAGAGGAGTACTAGATTGCTGCACACACTTTTTTTGTTTTGCTTGCATTATGGAGTGGGCAAAAGTGGAATCTCGCTGCCCTTTGTGCAAGCAGAGATTTAAAACAATCAGTAAGCCTGCACGATCAACAACAGCGGGGGTAGATTTGAGAGGATCAGTTATCCAAGTCCCTGAACGTGATCAGGTATCCAAATTCTTCCTCAACCCTTTTGTTTAAGGTTTTTTACTTTCCAACTGGCTGTCCTAGTTGATGGAGGGTTGATTTTGATATGCAGGTTTATCAGCCCTCTGAAGAAGAACTCAGGAGCTATATTGATCCGTATGAATATGTAATTTGTTCAGAGTGCCATCAAGGTGGAGACGATGGCCTCATGTTACTGTGTGATCTTTGTGACTCTCCTGCGCACACATATTGTGTTGGTCTGGGTCGGGAAGTACCTGAAGGCAATTGGTATTGTGATGGTTGTAGGCCAGTTGCTTTGGGATCTTCAAGCTCTCAAGTTCAGGAAGGTGTGGCTGATTCAAGGGCAACAATAGGTCAGAGCCTACCTGGTAGACCATCGCCTGCTGGACATGCTAGAGATATTATTGACCTCAACTTGATGTCTTCACCACGTGCAGCTTTTAGTCAAGGATTTGGAAATTTTTCTTCTAGATTTTCTGGTAGAAGTGTTGAAGGAGCTTCTCCAGTGTCTGGAGGAGGGGCACCAACTTTATCCGAGAGACGTTGGATACACCGTCAAATTCAACAATTACTTTCAATGGATAGAATGACTTCTGCTCCTGGTCGATCTAATGGCGTTTCAACTACCAATTCAACTAGTAACCTATATGGCTCTCAAAATGATCAAAGTAGGGTAACAACCACTCAAGACACAAGGACACACAACGTGGGAACATCATCATATCACTCATTTTTGGAGGAAAGATTATGCAACAATACCTCTCCACTAATGCAGAATGGGGATCATTTCTCTATGAGAATAAGCAATTCAAGAAGGCCAGTGGTTCAAGATTCAACTCCATTTACCAACAGGTCTTTGAATGGGGCATTTTGGCCTGGTCTTGTGGGAACACCTCCTGTATCAGATTATGAACAAGTCCATCAGCTTAGCAGCAGTTCACACATTGTTGCTGATGGTAGCATGTCCCCTGCTATTAGAGAAGAGAGTAATTTTCACATAGTAAAGGAACAATTGTCATCACTGGTTAAACGCCACCTTATGAGCTTGTCACAAAATATTGATTTAGGTATGTGACTTCTCTTCCATTAGCTAAAAACGGTTCATTTCTACAAATTTTTTCAATGGCCGCCCTTTGCCACGTCTAGGACTGAAAATTATGGGTGAAAGTTGTTAACTTATATGAATGGGAAACATAGCAGAATGTTCTTTTGGGGTTTGGGGTGATGAATTTGGGGGAGAATATATGTACCTTATACCAACATTAATCTTGGAAAGAGTAAATGCAAGATGAACTTGTATTATGTTAAAATTAACAAATTTATGCTTCTAATAACTCCCCCCTCAAAAAAATTCATATTATGGATGAATGTGTACCCTAACAATTTTTCGTAGCAATGTTCCGTGTCTTTTAATTTCCCTCATGCCTTTCCTATTTGTTTGATTCAGGCAACAGTACCATCAAGGACATTGCAAGGATTTCTCTGAACACCATACTAGCAGCTTGTGGTCTTGAGCACAAGAAGGGCGAGGTTTGCGCTGTGCCCCCTCCTTCAGCCTGTCCCCACATTGAACTAATGGCTGGTGGGCAAACGAGTCTGATTAAAGGTTGCTGCTCATCTTGCTTTGATTCCTTTGTAGGCGACGTGGTTAAGAGGATCATGGACACAAGAATGTCGCAGTGGTTGCGACTAGGCCTTTAGGCATTATTGCATTGAGTCCAGAGGCACACCTTTTTTGTCAGTAGTTAAGGAAGACAAGAATGTGTCATTCACTTGTTTATATGAATATCATTCACTAACTTAATTTGTTGGGGACACATACCTGTATTGGGTGCTCATTCAGAAATCAATCGAAAATAAGCCTTAAATTTTCATCCTTTATTGTCATGTTAGTGATAATAGTAGACTTGGGTTCGGGCGAAAGCTATGTTGAGCCGAATGTTTGAAAGAGCTCAGTTTCCTTCATTTTTTTTTCTCGACATAATGATTTTGGTCATTTTAGCCACAAAAGAGGTGAACGTAGTTGTTGACCTCCATCACCGAGTGTTTATATATACGCGTGTGGTGGTATGGTCTTCTATTGATGGTGCAGGAGACGTCCTACTCTACCTGCTGTGAAAAGGTCAGGGAAAATGGCCCTGTAGTACAACTTCAGGCTTTTCCGTCTTATTTTAATGTCATTGGCTGAGCCGTTAACAAAATATGACAAAGAAAGGGCAGAGCAAGTTACCGACCAAATTATAAATGTTTTTTTATTCCTGTGAAGGAAAAATGGGGCTGTATTCTGATTCCATTTTGAATTTTCTTTTTTTGGTTTGATTTTGTTACCCGGTTCATGTAGGAATTGTAATTCCACAATTAAGTAACTTCCTTATTATTACTATGACAAAAAGTTTAAAAATTGGAATAGATGTAACTACTTTATCGTTGAATTCTTTTTTTTTTTTTTTTTTTTGGTTTTTGGAAGATAGTTGTCTCTCGTTTAGACAAAATTTCTCTTATACCATAAATTTCACAAAGCTGATGCTTTCTTGGTTACAAGATACGAGAGAAGTATAAAAAATAGCCCAAGTGTTACTCATTCACCCCTCATACGTACTGTCCTTCTTTCGTTAGAATTTTTTTTCACTTTTATTTTGAGAAAATTATAAAAACAGACCCTAAAAATAAAAAAATTACATACAAAAAATTGCTATCATTTGCTTAGCTGTCAAAACTAATATTAATGTTGTAATGAGTCTTTATTTTAATTTTTTAATATTTTCATGACTCTTTTTTTTTGCGCCTTGCCTGTAAAAGTATATTTTATATTTTAAAAATGTTTGAATGGATTTATTATTTTAAATGACTTTATACCATCCAAAATAAATACATGATTTTTTTTCTCAAATACTCATGAAAATTTCTCAAACAAACGCCCAGATATTTTCTTTTTTGAGGGAAAATGTAAGATACGTTTAGATGTTCTTTATTTTGAGAGAAATAGTTTTGTTTTCTTTATTCCATTGGGTGCAAAAACTAACTCAACTGGATGCATTTCCATACATTTTGCGTGGTACTTGAGAGAGAGAGAGAGAGAGATATATATATATATATATATAATTTTAATGTATTGTTATCGATTGATTCTTATTAAACTCTAAAATTAAAGCTCATTGATCGAAAATAAGATACGTTCTAGTTTCCTCAAAGCGCAAATGTTGATGCAATGAAGACCATCATAGAATGATTCAGAACGGATTGTTCATATCAAAAAATGAAGGCCAAGACCTAATTTCGTATAAAGCACAAGCCTCTACTACTTAATGGCCCACACGGTAGTTGTAACGTTCCACGTTGAATTATTTAATTTGTAGTCTAGTATCTGTTTAATGGTCTTAGTTCCACTAAATCTGTGGTAGGCACAGCTACCCCTCCAGTTTGTCGTGCAGTTCACCTGCTGCTTGTTCTCTTTTTTCATTTGGTTACACCGGAAAAAAGGCTCATCATGTCGCTTCGTTGTTAGCCCCAAAGTTTCTACGAATTTGAAATGTCCTGTTTTGATAGCTATGCCGACATAACAAAATACAAACAGCAGCTCTCGCGGTATAAAGAAACTTTTTCGTGTTCGCTCAAGCTTTATGACCCGAAATAAAAGGATTATATGAGACTTCTGACCTGAAAACTATAGTGCACATGCAAAATATGTATATTACCCTCCCTTGCTGTTGCTGCACGTCATTTCATTCTTTGATCAAATGCATTTCAGACTTGCGAGGCACATCCTCAATTGAAGGTAACCTTATTCTGAATTAAGGCCAACTGCAGCAGCGGCAGCATGAAAAACTCCCTTCATAAATTGTCATCAAGTATAGAGCCCGGCTTTGACAAACTCGCATCTTCCTTCTTTCTCTGTATTGTTCTTGACAGAAAGGCTACAAAAATTAACATTTGACATACATGTATCCTCCCAACAAGGAATAGTGCACTGTTGTGGGAATTTTTTTTAAAAAAAAACCAGATATAAATAGTTGTAGGCAAATAATATCTTCTGGGTCTTCTGAACTTGGAAATAAATTATGGTGACATCACATGATTGGCACAAGTGAGAGCATATGAATTCCTAAAATACTAATATAGTACCTTCTATCCCTAATATAAGAGTTAGTTTGATTTTTAATTTGATCCTAAATATAAGACCTCAATGCACTTTATCTCTCACATTTATTCATTTTTTCTAAACTAGTCCTTATAGAAGTTACACATGTTAAAAGTTTTATCAAATAGTAGTTTTAATTAATACACATTATGAGCAAGATTAGCAAAGGTATTTTAAGAAAGACAACACCTATTTATTACAAATAACTAACTTAACTAATTTCTTTAATCTACTCAAATCAGTTAATTAGTTCTTGTATTAACGATCGAAGGTAGTATCTGATTTGAAGAAAGAAAATAACTCATCAAATAACCCGTTCAGTCCAGTAACTATTAAGAAAAGCTTTTGATGCTCTCCAGAACAAATTTTAGATCAGGCAGGCCCTTGCTTTGGATTAGTAGTAATTTAGACAACCGCACCTGTATAATCTTCTGTCTTTTGTTACAGATATTTATAGACTTTGGTGCAACCCCCCACCCGACATCATACTTGAGTATTTTATAATCAACATCTATCCTACTTTGATTTGAAAGTTATGCGGCGCATTGATGTCACGTCCTGAATTATAGATTTTCAGAGCACTGAATAAAATAGAGGAAGAACCACAACTTTCCAAATAACTAACAGCAGCATGACGGACTTGCTGCTCACCTCTTTAGAAGAAAAAACAGACGACTTAACCGCAAACAAAAAATTTCAATTATTAAGAAATCAATTACTTTCTCTGAGCTTTCTCCATGGATGCCAAAAGCACCGCAGATAAGGATACTACCAGTACCAGTCTTCGTCTACATTCTGTCACTGAATAGGCATACATGAATCTAACATTTAGACATCACTTCATGGAAAACCAAACATGTCAGGGCATCTGTGAGGAGATTATCTTTTGTACAGAGAACATCAGAAATGAGACGAGCAACTTGCTCCAAGCATCCTTTCATGATGAAAGTTTCAAGTAGCAATGCTCCCCAGCCCCCCTACCAATTCTCAGGTAGGTGTGTCAGTGTTTTTGTTTGGGGGGGGGGGGGGTGCAGAAGAAGCACGGCAAACCGGTAGAGAAGATAACTATTTTGGTAAATTTCAGAACCAGACGTTTAAGATTTTAAATCCACTCAAACCCTTACTTCAATTTGATGGGTAAGGGAGGCAGAGCAAATAAACCAAAACGGTAAGGGAAAATAATTTGGCCTCAGCGAATAGCAATCATACAGGATTACAAGGAGTCTCGATCTGCTTAAATCATATCATATCACATTCACATTCATGGTCCAACGTGATACTTTTTGAGAAGCTTGAATGCAAAATAAAGAGAAAAAAATAGAAAAGGCAGGGTGATTTGGATAGAGAGGCTAAACACCATGATACTGTTACATCGTATTAACTTTACTGCAGCATTTCCCCCTCTCGTTTTCACAAGTCTCAGAATTCAAAGAAAGCTAGATGCAGTATACTTTTAAGTATCAATGACATTGCAAAACCTAAACCACAAAGCGGAACTCTGAAGTGTTAACACAAAGTTCAAGGCACTGGGTTTAGTTTAAGGTAGTCTCAATTTTAATGCATACCTGATATAAAAGCTATGTTCTACAATTGTTATTTAAGATACCAGAATCCTAAAGACCCCCTTTCCGAGCATGGATCGACATTTCCCCCCCTTTTCAAGCACCATAAAGAACAGGCTAATTCTGACATGTGATATAACTATGATTAGTATTAGTATATGTGATAAATCTAAATATCAATGATATAGATTTTCAAGGCACTCCAACGTTCCGAAGTTCTCAAGGAACCGAGGAAACCAAATACAAAGCATGAAGGAAATGTCCTCCTTCAAACAGCAGGAAGATGCCTAAAACTCACAGTAATAACATATCAATGTTTCAAAAGGCCCAAATTATCCATAACATCAGATGGATACAATGGGATGTCACCATAAACAGAGATACTATTGCACAGTTTGAATTGAAAACTGCAGCAAGCATACCTGCTTGATACAATCGCATCCGAGCTTTCCTTGGCTGGCCTTGTCTCGATAATATCATATCATTTTTCCTCTAGAATCATTGAAACGCCTCAAATGAACTATGAGAACAAATAAAGCACAGAAAAAGCCTTCACGCACGGCATAGGGAAAACAAAAATTAAAGCTCTTCCAGACGAACAAGAGAGAAATTAAATTTAATAGAAAATTAAATAAACAGGCAAAACGGGGGCCAATTGAAGAGGTGACGACAGGGGAGAGTTGAACTGCATGAAACCTGATCGGGACAGAAGAGCAGCCCGATAGTACTTAGAGGCAGGCGACAGACGAGTGCTACAAGAGGAATCGGTGCCCATAGCTGCCATGAACGAAACTCGGAAACAGAAAGGGTCATTGGAGCGGGAGGACTTTTGGGGTTGATGAGGGCGTGAGCTCAGCTAGGAGAAAAATGAGGTGGCGCCCGCTGAGAGTTTCGTCAAGCCGCCAAGAGCCTACTTCTTCATCGCAGACCAACCGAGCTTTCGTAGCTCAGTTGGTTAGAGCACCCGTTTAGTAAGCGGGAGGTCTTGAGTTCGACTCTCAACGAAAGCACGGTCCAACCTTTTTTCCTTGGTACAAACTTTGGGCCTTCTTTTGTTGCAACAACAGCGCGGAAGAGGGACGCAAAGGACGACGCCCGAGGCCCATTGTTAGGACGCTAAAGATAAAGAACTGAGCTAAATGGCCCACGTGGTATTTTTGGGAATCGGGATATCTTTCCGTCGCCGCCAGCCCTAACCTCTCGCCCCTTCCGACGGCGATGGAATTCAAACTTGACCTATCTTCCATCTGCCGATGCGATGTCCCCTTCACATAGAATATCCCATGCTAACAATCAAGCGTTTAGGATGGGCCTGTGTCTAACTCCGTTGTGAATCATTTTCACCCCCGGGGGGGGGGACTCCGTTGTGAATCAATTCTTGCTTCTCAGTAAGCTAAACTTGATGACTTTTTTCTGCAAGCTTTGAGCTTCTAGCATCTTCCCCCCGCATTTGGAAAACGTCAGCTTTGGTGTTATCAGCTTTTGGAGAGCCATGAAGAGCGGGCATAACGGGTAATAACTACTCCTCCGGTCCTTAATATAAAACCTGTTTGACTTTTATTTTGGTCCTAAATATAAGACCCAAATCCATTTTATCTCTCATATTTACATATTTTTTTCCAAAGTAACACTTCTAACAATGATAGTTTTAGTCAATACACTTGATTAGCAAGAATATTTTAGGAAAGACAACACCTATTTAGGACAAATAACTAACTCAACTTACTTCCTTAATCTCCTCAAATTAGTCAATTGGGTCTTATAATTAGGACCGGAGATAGTATTAATTACCATGTTGATGACTCGGAGCTGCAGCAGAATCGAAACGCCCGCTTGAACTTCTTAGGTATTTGCTTCATTCAAACGTGTCCCCAGAAATTTATGGTCCGCCTATTCTCAGGTGCCTTTCTGGTTTTTGCTTCGCATTTATAGATTATCACCACACCATATTCCATTTTACGATCGGTAGTAATATGTAATTCTGATACGATGTCAACAATTAGCACTCTTCATTCGCTTCCTTACATTTCATTTTTGGGCACATGTGCTATCCTAGACCTCTTCAGGTTATGGCCTAAATTACGAGGAAATCAGAAGGGTAATATGAACCCGACACTTCCAATTCTGGCTTTATGCCCTCGGGACAAAGTAGAAAGGGCAGAGAAAAGGACTACATGATCGCCAGAATTTCATGAAATATTAATTCCTAACTGAAAATATCACCAAAAGCCGAAAAACCATAACTTTCCTATACTTGGACTCTGCTTCCGCCTATGCGACTTAAACCATTTTTACACCACATAATGAAAATGACTCGAGTCTAAGAAACCAAGATTAAAAGAGAAATATGTTAGCTATACGATGATCGGACTATGTTATGTTGCTACTCTAGTTGTCTTGTTGCCCCATTTTACGCGAAAACAAGCCCACAAGACAAGGCCATCAAGCAGAAGGCGGCTTGTTCCACCTCCTCTAACTCCCTCCTCCTCCTCCGCCACCTCTGCTTCTTTGCCGCCGAATGTGACCGTTGCAGCAAAACCTCCTCACCTAATGCCACCAAATTCATCTTCAAACACTCCTTCAAATCGTTTCCATCGTTACCAACAGCTCTCCCACCAACCGACGCTGCGTTTTCTCTCTCCTCTTCTCTTGTCCTTTGTTCAGTCTCAATCCCACCGTCGAAACCCTTTTCTTCCTGTATCTTATCCCGCAAGCGTTGCACAGAGTCTGCGTATTACAGGGAAAAAAATCCCGTTCATTGAGATGAAACAAAAGAAAAACAAGACAAAAGGACAAAGCAGAGAAGGGTGATTCGTGCAACTATGAAATTATATTTAAGAAATGAGGGGGGAAACGCAAAAATTAGAGATAGTATAAGCAAGACCTGCGAAAAAGCCATCACAACCAGTACGTCTATTAAGCCGACATTGTACAATAGTAACTGAAAATAGCGACCCTCAAAGAGGGCGCGTTGTAATGTAATCTGCTGGGTTTGTGATATTCGCGCGACAGAAGACCAACGCAAATCGAGAAAATTGCAAATAGCAAAGGGGCAGTAAGAAAATTGCCCCCGAATAGAGGGAAAAAGATTACACGTGACTGAGATGAAATATAGCAAAACGAAGTAAAAAGATCGGCAAAATAGTGAAAAAGCATCACAAAATCACCAAGGGGAAGAGAGAATTAAATGATAATGCAGTTAGTCGTAGAAGGCGGTGGGATCACCTTGGGCCCAGAAGGTCCCCCTCTCCAGAGTGGGGTCTTGGTAGTTTTGCAATCAGTGCAGCACTTCTTGTTATCAATCAATTCCTCATGAGACGTTTCCTGAAACAGAATCGAATTACAGAAACCTTTGATGATCGCGAAGAATCACTACAAATGAAACAGTAGAAGTTAATGGTTTGCTCAGAAGCCCACCTTTTGCTGGAGATCCATCATGATCATCAACCCACTCAATGAAGGACTCAAGAAACCAAACAAACCTGGGGAACAGCAACAGACCAATGGGTCATCTGTAAAATTTTCTCCAGAAGCAAGAAGATCAGAAAATAAGTCGAAAGGCGAAGCATAAGTATAACGACGCAACAAGGAGCTAAGAATGAAAGAGACTCACCGAATCACCGAGACGAGAACTTTCGTGTGCAGAGGTCGTGTACATAAGCACCCGAGCAAGCCTCGTACTCATGCTGCCGCAGAGTACAGAGCAAAGCAGGTGGATAATAGAGGCGAACCGGAGGTGGATAATAGAGGCGAACCGGCGAGACTAGGAAACCGACAATGTGAATGGACATAAAACCCTAGCGCAGTGGCATCCAAATGACGATAATGCCCTCGATCTTCCCCCAATATGCATAGCGGTCAATGGCAACCCGCCAAATTTCAGGAGTGGGAGCTCCCACGTGTCGTTCATTAAAGTTCTCTTTAATCTAATAACGATAATCTTAATCCCCATGTTAACCTATCAAATGAGCTTAACACACCTTAATGGATTAGATTTCGTTAAAAAGGGTAGCCACAGCCTTTTCTTAGGAGATAAGAGGGGCATTTGTATAAAAACCAAATCATAATTTTAAAAGTATTTTTATGATATACAAAATAAATATATGAATGAGTTTATCTTGTTTTGTTAAAAAATGCTTCTTCTTTTTTTATATTGCCAAACACTTCCAGAGTGGACGGGGGAAATACTAACAAAAAAAAATTATCAACTGCTTGGAAAGAAATAGTTATTGAAGGATTAGAAAATAAAATTAAACTAGGAAAAAAAAGACTAATATTAGATATTTAATATAAAAACTAATTTGAAAATTAGATTTAATTATAAATATAAAATTTTAATCTACTTTATTTTTTGTATTTATATTTTTAAAATTAATTTATCTAATTTATAAAATAATATATAATCTAATGTTATATAAAGAATATTTTAAAACGATTGTGTCACATAGACTAAAAGGGGTACTTGGTATCATAAAAAATGCTTTTTGAAAGTATTTTTTTATAAATCGAGATAAATTACTCCACATGTCTATGTCTATTTCGTATATCGTAAAGTACTTTTAAATTATGATTTTAATGCCATCTAAATACCCTTAAAAAGATTTCATATATTTATTGGATTCGCAGAACAAATGCGATATCTCGAATGTGTAATTGTATGAGGTGCAGTTTGGATATTCATTATCACAAAAACGCTCTCATTTTAGCCATCATATTTAGGGAGCTAATGTGACGAGAAAACACCCAGGAAAGCACTTTCGATTGCCCATTTGCCTCACAGGTCAACGCAAGTTAAAAAAAAAAAAAAGTTTTGGAACGAATACCAAATATGTAAGGTGTGTTTGGTGTCATTACCAAAAAGAGTTATAACTTACAGTGCTGCCAAAGGAAAGGCTGAAGTCATGGTCCATTGCTACTGGACGCGGAACGCAACCATCAAATTAAAAAGCGAAGCCATCTGTGAGTTAATAATGACATCCCAATCCATTCTAGAATAAAACAATCTCTGATGTTCTATAACGTATAATTAACAAAAATATGATTACAATTTAACAAAACACTACCTCGTATACCCAAGTAAATGGAATACAAACTAGATTTTATATTAAGAATTTGAGGTCAAATTTTTTTTGTCCGCATGCCTGGATAGAGAAATCAAGGACAATACCGGGGAGTAGATTTTATAGTTACGGGGGACAAGCTTTCCCTTTCTTTTGGCTCGACAAAAACGCAGCCAAGTCCAAGTGGCCTTGACAGCACTTCGAATCTGTCTCCAAATTGTTGTGCCACCGCCTCTGTTTGATATGTATATACCAGAATTGGGCCACGAAAACTGCTCGCCGCTATGTCCTTCATGAGCAGGAGGGGGGTTCAGTAGCTCGGTCACCCAGCTCTCAATGTCACCCCCTCCATGACTCACTTCGCCTTGTTGTCCAGCATGCACCGCTTCACCTGAATGCCACTGAGAGGTGGACGGCCAGCCTAAAACCGAAGACGAAGATAGGTTTTAATTTTAAGAGTCAAGACAAGGAATGAGAAACACAGAACAAAACCTCATTGCAATACCCTGGGGAGTAACAGGTAGTAGAAGTTCATGTTGTGGCTGGCCCTGCCCAGCTTGCTGCAACCGAAAACAGAGGAGTTGGTTACTACTGCTAAATTCTAATTCAGAGATATCATGAATACCATCATAGCATGTTCATGTTATTTATGGTAATTTGGAGAATTCGGGGATCAATCAAACAAAATAGACACATGCCTGTGGCTCCGAGTTAAGAGGAGCTGTGGGAAGATACGGTTGCCCGGCATCTTGTTTGGGACATGCTTCATTAGCATGGAGGATAAGCTTTCTCCATGCCTTCTCTCCAACTCTAATCTCCTGTTTCAGTTGATTTGGGTCGGTATTAAACTGATGCAAGAAAGCCTCGACAGTGTTTATTCCTTTGGATTGCAGCAATTTATGTCTTTTCCCATCTTTTCTTATGCCTTTTAAACGCCAAATCCCATCATTTAACGATGGAGTGTCAGGTTTCTGGTAGCCTGAAATCACCAAATCAAACGTCAGTCTACCGATTTCACCGCCACACTTCCTTCACTTAAATCAATCAGTATAGGCAATCAAGAGGAATACCCAGTCCACGACAATCCTTGACCCTAAAAGGTTTACTTATACCCTCCCTGATGCTCTCTGTTTCTGGAGTTGGTTCTGCGACTTTGGCGCCTAACCTGAAATGTTCAGTTCTAGCCCATGTGGATATATCATTGACACAAAGGTTCTCCACAGTGCAAACTCCATTTCTTAGTCTTAGGAACAGATTTCCAGAGAGCAATTTCCCTCCCTTCCTTGTTAGATGTACTATGTTGCGACGGAAATCCTCGGAGCTCCAATCCTCGCGACCATCGGAACCGAAGCTACCGTGTAAAAGGCACAACTCTATCCCTGTGGAGGATAGAGGACCTTCTGTGACTATGCGGTCCTCAACTCCAGCAGCATCACACTGATACAGAGCAACTTCAAGTGAAGCTGCTTTCTTGGCCTCAACCTTAACGCCTGTATAAGTATCGCTGGGCGATCCCTTCAAACGCAGTTGTAATGTTTTCTTTCTGTGTCCGCTACAGCATTTGAACCCATAAAATGTTAGATGGATACCCAGCAGGGAATTTATAACGATGTTGGAAGAGGATGAATAGGACCAAACCTTGGACTTGGCCCTCGGTGAAGGTGCCGTCGCAGTGCAGTTGCGAGTTCTTCTCCCACCTGATTGAGAAAACACACACACGAATAACAACAATAGGCACTCTAAAAGAGTTGAAAAGCGAGATGGAATACTGGTTATTTTGACCATTTCCCTGCTGCAAGTGGCAACCGGACAAAACATGTAAGTTTAAACATGTTTCTGCAAAATCTTAACTGGTTCATCGTTCTTTAGACACGCGATGCCCGGCCATCCGATTCTTGAACGTACTCGGACTGGTACCTACTATAATTACGCACTAACCAAACACCCATGACGCATATGGCTGAAAAGGGGATTCCTCTACAATTTCCTCAAATTGGGAACAAACAAACGACGGAAACAAAGCTTGTTTTTTTAGCACAAAACTCAAAGCAAGCACGTCTGACAATTAGAGAATCGCAACAATAAACAAAAACAATGCGCTATCAATTTCAAAACCATAGTAACGCTCCAAGACTAAGGAGATCAGAGTTTCCTTCTTACCACTCTGCGAATCATAGGCCCAAAAATCTTTTCCACCAACTTATCATCTTCTTTGAGTAAACCATTACCACGAGTAACGCTGCAAATTAAAGCACCAAACAACATTTTTAGTGCCAAACAACCGAGCAAGCACAAAGAAACAAAAGAAAAATGTCAAGCACCCAATCTGTGCCGGAGCGGCCACGGAGGCGCCTTGCCTCCTCTTAGACTTGTTACCGGGAGCTTCACCATCCCGGTCACGATCCACCAAGTGAGGTGGCCTTTTCCATGGTGCCATCGATACAGCGCACTTGAATATACGGCGACAAGGGCTCCTCAAGCTGAAAACAAGAAATTGACCATGAACATAAACTCAGAACTCGATTACTGTAACAGGCATCACTCAAGCTTAAAATAAGAACGCTTATATCTATAAAAAACAACCCAGATGAGAGATAACAAGGACCCCTGAAGCTAAAAAAACAATAGTGTTTATCTATAAACAGAGAGGTGATATGACACTATTTCTGCAACAGAGGTTCACTCCCTTCCGCTCACGATAAAGAGAAATGCCGGTATCTATGGTTATATAGAGAGAGAGGATCTGCAACTTGAAATATCAGGGAAAAGTTGTTCTCATTTCCGATCAACTGCAAGCAGGTCCCACAGGCCTAAAAGTCGAGTTCATGAAAATTTCTCAGATTAAGTTTCAGAGAGTATCCGGAATAGCCTTGAAAGCGAGTTTGTTGGGTCTGTATAATATAAAATTTTACATATACACTCAATTTTATGGCGGGCTTTGCCAAGTATTTTATCTGTAGCCATAAACTTGCAGTTCTGGCGGAAAAAAATGACTTACACGATATTATTTGAAATATGAAATTCGAGGTGGGTTATATTATAAGTTTGATATATATGTTTATAAATTATTATGTCAGCACGCCTCATATTTAACTAGTCTTAAAAAACAAAAAGCGCGTAAATAATTTGGAGTTGCTCAATCTTCCAAAGCTACGCGTTTTTAAGATGATCAAGAATTAAAAAATATGCAGGGAGAGTCACCACATGATGTGTTCAATATGAGAGTCATATTCTCATATACATTGAGGAGGGAGAAAGAAGCAAAATCGGATTTTTAGTCCTCACTCAAGTTATGCACCTGGCAAAAGGCAGAGGAAGTCAAGCAAACGAGTCTTCGTCTGGCTTGGTCTTCAGAAGCATTCCTTTTGCCCAGAATTTTCGTAGAAATTAAGACTCATGTTCCTGGTAATTAGAGAGAATCTTCATACTTGTGCCTACAGGCAAATTGCAACACGCCGATGCAACCACATGTGAGCTTAACTTCCCTCCCCCGTTCGAGCATTTTTGACATTGCTTGAAGTTGATACTAAAGCTAGAAATTATGACGTGTTCTTGCCGATTTTAATGAGCTCTCAATTATGAAGTGTCTAAATTCCATGTTTGATCCTACGTTAGTACTTTTTAAAGCATGTAGCAAAGTAATTGCGCAAGGTGTTGACATTCTAACAAGTACATAAGATATCTGTAACATTATTTTTGTTGAAAAAAAACAAGGCAAATATGGCATTGTATTCGTTTTTTCTCCTGGTCAGCTCGTCTTCCTCTCCCCACGCTCCAATTATTAGCAGGAATTAATATATGCAAGAAGATCATCTGGATTTGCTAGATGTCAAACTATCCTTAGCACGCGGCATGAAGAGTTTTTACTTTAATTTCTATATGAATGCACGAGCATTTTGCCGTTTGGTTTTCTTCATTCTGAAACACTGAATGAGGGGGCAGCCGGAGAGAGGAGGAGGAAGACGGGAACAATGGAATTATGATTTCTAGGGGCTTGGAGGAATTCAGCCAAAGTTTACGAGTGTGTTTGGAATCACATCTGGACCTTCAAACTGACTTCTCTACCGGTAAAATGAGCTTTTTTGATTTGGGATGTGTTTGGAATCACATTTTTGCAATCTGACTTCTGTCACTGAAACGGACTTATACAATAAGCTGAAAAAAGCTGCTTTTATCCAATCTGACTTCTGTAAAAGTCAGATTGAAAAAAAAGTTACTTCTCCACCGCTAATCCAAACACACCCGTACAGCAGATTTTTTTCCCCCAGCAAAAGCACGTTACAGAAACAGAACCGCAGTTATTTCAAATTGGAGCTGCAACTTGTACCCGACTAACAAAAAAGATCCAGGCTTGCGATGTGGTCGATGACACCAGCAGTATTTCTCTGTATCCGGAACCTCTGCGACACTTTTTGATGCTCCTCTTCCGAAAAACAAGAGCCCTTCATTTGGTTTTTATTTTTAGTATTTTCCAGGTTTTACTCAATATTTTTTATGAGTGCAGCACAGGCAAATCATCTAAATGGTAGTATTAACAATTTCTCCACCGCAAATTATAATAAATATAATGAACGGTAGTAACAGTAAAAAGGACAAGACTCTCTATGAGCAAAAAATTAAGAAAAATTAATAAATAATGACCTTTTTTTTCACATCGGTTTTTATACACTGAATGCTTTAAGAAGAAAAATAATCAGGTAGGACTCTAATCGACGACTTCAGCACTATTGAGTATGGACAGAACGTATTTTACAAGGGGTAAAAGAATAACAATTTTAAATAGATAGATAGATTGACACTACGCATACAAAGGACTCCATCCTCGTGTTTTTCTTCCTTGCAGTTGACAGTTTAAAAAATAATAACAAGAATAAAGGAATAGGAACATAATTAATTCCAACGCATCAATCTGCCTAGTAATTCTAACAATTATAGTAAATTAGCTTTGCCACCCTCTTGGCAGCTGCATCCCTTCTCACTGATATGACCCATTTGAGAGCGGTACGAATCTTATACCACACTGCTTTTGGTTTCTCAGTTGTGGCCATACCACCGTTAGAAAGGCTGCCAAATTCCACTCCGCCATATGAATTGAAATGTAAGCCATTTTCTTGGCCCCAGTTTGTGAATTGAATATGCCAGCTTTCGTTCTCTGTCCAAGGCGATCCAACATGGGGCCAATTATTCCCTTCAGTTTGCATTCCAGGGAACAATTCACCTACTGCTGAACTGTTCTGTAGCATTGATGCCAAGTCTGGAAACGGACTAGCGTATATTTGGTCATTTTGCATTCCTTCATCAGCATATGAAGTAGATGGTTGATCAGAACCTGCCCATGTTTCAATTTGACCTGCACGACGGATCATTAAGTTAGAATCACAGAGTGGTAGAGGGAGTTAAAGTAAAATGAAACAATCAAGACCAACATACACACACCTTGCTGTGCTATTGGGAAATTAAACTGTTGGAGACCTTGATCTGGACCACTAGCCTGCCCAGCTTGTGGATATGTCAGGTGCCTCTGAAAGTTAAAACACGTCTGATCACCAACTGATTTTAAATCATTCAAATTTTTGTAAGCATGCTGCTTCACCACTTCCACCAAATGCTGCCAATCAAATAAGAAGGCAAATGATATCAAAGTGTTGGAAGAATGAAATTATAGCCAAATTAAAATAGGATTTGAACACAAAAATACCTTATCAGCTGGGGCAAGAATATCTGGAGAACAGTAGTTTTGGCCATCAAACGTCACTCCTACAAGGATGTAAATAGAATTGAAGAGCAGGCCTACACGTTGTTCTGCTGATTGATACATGTAAAGGTTGTAATCATCTATAACACATTTCCCGGCATGTTCAGTTATTGCCGCCCATAACTTCCTGGGAATATTGCCAACTTTCTACAATTCCAGAGCCAAAACCCAGATGAAATATGAATACACGCATGAATATTCTTAAAGTACTACATAAAAGGGATAAACAATTATTGAAAGAGAGTGAGAAGAAATACAATCCCTCACCTCAAGCAATGAAGATTGGTCAATGTTGTAAGACCGCACAAGATCCCCAACCGTCCTTATTCCGTAGTCACAAAGTCGCTGGTAAATTTTACCATTTTTAGCTATCTTCTCCAAACGCCATAAATCATCATTCAAATATGGAGGGTGATGTTTCTTGTCCACTGAAACGACCAACAAGAACCAAAACTTCAGCATTAAAAACGCTAGAGTCTGGGTAACAGACAAAAAGGAGGTTATGATTATGATTTTAGACTTACGCTCTCCTCTTTTATCTTTTACCACGAGAGGTTTACTTACACCTTCCTTTATGCTTCCTGCACACGAAGTTCGTTGCAAAACTTTGGCTCCCAAGCCGAACTTTCTGCTTCTTATCCAGCGCGAGTTGTCAGTGAACTTAAGTTTAGTGATACAACCAACCCCATTTTTTAGAGTAATGATCCGATCTCCAATCAGCAATGACCCCTTGCCCTCCCTTGGGGATAAGATATTTGCATTGAATTCTTCTTCAGTGCAATCCTCACACCTTTTGGAACAGAAATCACCGTCGAGGGCGAAGATCTCTACCTTTGTAGAGGACAAAGGACCATTGCTCACCACAGATTGAGATCTCACATCAAAAAGAGCAATCTTAAGCGGTGTCTCCTCATCCTCAGCTATGACATTAGAGTATGCGAATGTTGTTTCGGGCGGTTCATTAATAAAACGCAGCTCTAAGGGTTTGGCGCCAGATGTGCCATCCTGACAAGGCGTTGCTGCTCTGTAACAAATTTCACCCAAAGCAGAATAGAAAAATAAATCAAATTATAGGCTACTTACATATAAAATATCTAAGATAGCAGGAAGTATCACAAGTTTACTTAATTTACGAACAGAGAATTTGGACATGAGAAACCAACCTTGGAAATAGGTATTCTTGTATTTTACGTTCCACCTCTTGTCGTACCTAGTTGAAGAAACACCGAGTCATCAAGCAGATAAAGATTTCAACAAGCACGTTCAAATATTTACTCTAGCGTCTTTATCAACAAGTTTCCCGGATGAGGAAAGGACGAGAAGCTAGAGACTAAGCAAGATTATGGAATTGACGAATTAAAAAGGAAAAGATAAACCGGCGAAAGCTCCAGTTAGAAAAATACTATCTCCTGTTCTTAATATAAAAGCTGTTGACTAATTTAAGTAAGTTAAAAAAACTAATTAAGTTATTTATTTATAATAAATAAGTGTTGTTTTTCTTAAAATATTTTTGCTAGTCAAGTACTACCTCCAGTCCTTAATATAAGAATTAGTTTGACTTTTAATTTAGTCATAAATACAAGACCTCAATCCATTTTATTTCTCCTATTTGTACCTTTTTTTTAAAGTAACCCTTTTAGTAGCTGCACATGTTAAATATTCAATCAAATGGTAGTTTTAGCTAATACTCTTCTAGTTCCATTTAGAGGGTAGAAAGAGAAGGTATTTTTTTGTTCTATTTATAGGGCATTGAGAGAAATTTTTTATATGGATGTACAATTTTACCCCTCATTTATTATTATCTTGATTTTGTTTATATGAGATATAATATATATTAAATAGGGATAAAGTTGAAAAGTCATTAAATTTTAAATGAGAGTTAATGAAGTTTAGGGTTTTTCTTCGTCTGTGTGAAACATGCTGGAAGTCTCTTATAAATAGGACAAGAGGAGTACATGATTAGCAAGGGTATTTTAGATAAGACAATACCTAATTATTACAAATAATTACCTCAACAAACTTTTTTAATCTACTCAAATTAGTCAACTAGCTCTTATATTAAGAACTGGAGGTAATATATTGGCTAAAACTATCATTATTATAAGAAATATTTGAAAAAATATATATAAATATAAAAGACAAGGTGGATTAGAATTTCATATTTAGAATCAAAATAAAAATCAAACGATTTCTTATATTAAATAACGAGATAGCGAAAGAGGTAGTAACAAGCACTGGGGGCAAATAGAGTGTGGGAATCAGAACAATGCATTAACGAACACTTAGCAACTGCAAAAACCTGGAGAAGATTGAGGAAGGCATTCAGGGTGGTTTTGCAGTTTGAAATGGAGCGTGGTTGTGAAAGAAGATGCTCAAAACTAGCTGAGATAAACGAAAGGAACAAAAACAAAAGAATATTCTTCAACCCCATATTCATTCTCAAATATAATAGAATTAAAAATATACAATACCACTCTTCGCAGGAAAGGTTCCAAGTAGGGATCCAGGTCCTTCTTCAAGAGTTCGTTTATAATGTTTTCAAGGCCACTGCACAGGAACCACAAAACCAAGCTTAGAGCAACAAACCAAGGCACATAAATTAATGGAAGGGAATGACAAATACCTGGTCGCAGGTCGTCTCGAATCGCCATGTCTTCCTCGTATGGATTCTCGAATTTGAACTGGATGATTCCTGCCATTACTCTCCAGCTGATGAGATTTCCTTTGAGATACCATCCAAATAATCAAGCAAATCAATGACGCTCAGTCGCAGCTGCTCAGTCCTCAGAACCCCCAATAATCTAATTCGACGTCTTGTAATAAAAAGAACCACTCAGCTCAAAAGGTTCTTTTATAGGCCAATAAACGGGGGGAATGCAAAAAAAACACGACATTGAATTGGCAATTACAAACGAAGTTGCGAGGAAGCATCGTGCAGCAGCGCTAAGAACACGCTAACACAAGTCAACGTCATTTTTCATAGAGGAAAAATAGAAGAGTAAAATGAAAAGACCTCAGAAAATGCTTCTCACCTACTGTTCCGTCCGGTTACTCTGTGCAGTCCTAAACTTCGGTTCATGCGCGTGGTTGTGGAAAAAACTGAAAAGGAGGGGCCCAACGAACCTGGTCGTTTCTTGCATTCGCAGAGTGAACAGTGGTAGTGAACGCAGAAAAGGAGGGCCGCGGCGGTAGCAGCGGCGATAACGACGACGAAGGTTATATTTGATTGCAGTTAGAAACGGTATGTGAAACTGAAGTTTGTAACTCAGTTAAGCACAAATGGTTGTTTGGCTGGAAGTAAAAACCCAATCAACTTCTGACATTCAATGAAAAATATGACTTTTTTATTTTACACTGTAGATTCACTTTTTTTCATAGATTTTTATAACTGAACTCACTTTTCTATTTAATCATCTAAATAACTTTTAATTTTTTTAACTGATTTTTATGAGCACCTATCCAAATATAAATCACATTACACTAACTAATTTTTATTCTAATTTTAGTTATAAAAATCAGTTGGACCAAAAGTCAGTTTTTTCCAACACTAATCCAAACACACCCGAAAATGACTGTGGACTTCATTTAGATTTGGAATCTACTACTACCTCCGATTCTTAATATAAAACCTTGTTTGATTTTTATTTTGGTTTTTAAATATAAGATCCCAATTCATTTTGTCTCTCATATTTATATATTTTTTCTTAAAGTAATCCTTCTAACAATAATAATTCTAACTAACTTTATTTTTTTTAATTTCTTTAAATTAGTTAATTATTTTTTATAATTAAGATCCGAAGAAGCACTGCATTATTGAGATGCGGACGCGTTTATGATCGTGTGAAAGAAAAGAATCCGGACCCTTTCGTACGGCTGAGATGGGATGTCTGAATCTGAATCCCTGATTGGGTGCGCCTTTCAAGTTCAACACAAAAAGGCCAAAGCCATCGACGGCCGCACCTCCAAAACACGTGATTGTTTTTGGCCACTAATCAATCCATCAATCGTGATCGTTATTTCGGATAAACTTCAAATTTCAACGAGTACTAACGAGTACATGTGCTTTCCAAATTAAAGTTATCATGTTTAACTATAGTATTTTCCACGAATATTCAAATAGTTTTTGTTTTTAATGATTTTGCTTCTTTCGTATACAATTCACTGGGGCACTGATTATCAGGGCCTGCTTTATATCAAGTTGTATAAAGTACATCAAACTTGGTGATTACTGTTGATCAGGCAATATGATGTGATTAAAACCAGATCTCCTCCCTTATATATATAAGACAGATTTTTTTTTTGGTTGAAATTAATTTTTTCCCACCGGCAGCTTCACTTACCTGCTTACGAATTTCAACATATGTATTTAAAAAAATCACATTGAATACATATTGTAATTATAAGCAGTAAGCTGTTAGCCCACAACTAATCCTAATGTTAAACACCATGAAGAGGAACACTTTTATCATCGTCATGAATACTATTACCGGCTCTATGAAAAACGGGAGGGCGATGGCTGAATCATTAAAGGTTATAGTTATTGTTTTTCCTTGCGGAACATAATTTCCAGGAAAAGGACATCGAAAGTTCAGGGAAATTTGCCACATCGAAGTTCAATTTCTAGACAGCCCCGTTTTGAAGTTCAATTGGAATATTCTGCGGGGAGTATTCGAATGGATCGTGTCGGTGAAAATTTCGATACCTATGCACCGCATTTAACTTTGAAAAATAAACACACACACACAAAATATAACTTTGATTAGCTTTTCGAAGGAGGAAAAAACAAAGAAAGAAAGAAAAGGTCTCAGTCCGATTCCTGCGTACCACTCATCCCAGAGGAGCTTTGTCTTAACCAGAACCAGTAGTTCTTCCAGCGCGTTTCCATTTGGTTATTTCACCGGTTTTGATTTTAATTTTAACTGAGAAAACATTGGGCCAGAGGCCCGATCTTTCTGTTATTCTGCCAAACAGCTCAATTGGGCCGGCATTGTCCCTCACATTCTTATTGCATTGACCTTGCTTAAATCCTGAAATCAACAGGCACTTGATTTAGATTTAGCAGAAGAAATTAATCTCTTACAATTTGATGAATGAAAGCTAGAATCCTCACTAGGAGAATGCCCATATTTAGTGCTGATAATATTTTGAGCAGAATTGCTTCTAATAATAAGATATCTATACCTAACAAAATTCTTAATATTATTATTTTATTTTATTTTTAGATAAAATAATAAATATTTTTTTGGGACCATTCAGTTATGTATTTTTTAAAAAAAATAATTTAAAATGCGTCATTTTTTCTCGAGACTATTGTATTGTATCTAAGTTAATGGTCAGTCACTCTGTCATGGCAGGGGATCCAATTCCCCGTTAAATTCATGACCGAACCGAAGGAAGTAGTACGGTGGCGTTGAGCCCATTGTTTCAGTGCCAAAGATGCGAATGTCTCCGTTTAGCTCTTTCTCTACTTCCTCCTTATTTATTGTTTTTATTATTAGATCAACACGCAATAATTAAAATTTAATACACTATAATACTCCCTCCGTTCCTTATTATAAGAGACATTTGATGCTTATGGCATGTTCCAATATATAAGAGACACTTAAAAGTTGTCTCTATTTTTTTGTATTGATTTCCTATTTCACCCCTATTTATTTTGTCTCCCACTCATACTCTCTCTCCCTCCCACTTCTCTTTCTTTTAATAATTTAATTATTCTCTCTCATACTCTCTCCCCTTATTAATGGGGGTATTGTTGGAAAAAATATTATACTTTTTACATATTAATTGTCCTCAACTAATTTTAACTGTTTTTTTGATCAATGTAATTTAGTTATTTGTCTCTTATAATAAGGAACGGAGGGAGTATTATTATAATATTAATTAAACCATATATATACTTAAGCAGTAAAAAATTAACATGCATATATGTATTTTTTATTATTTAGTATTATAATAATCCTATTACAGTGTATTCTTTTATTGGATCGTGTTAGTTTACTCCCTTTTAATTTCTGCCTTTTCTTTTAAAACAGAGAAAAAAATTATCTAGCATTATAATCTTATTTTTCAGATATATCCAGTACTATAATTTAATTCATAGTACATATAGCATCCTAATTCCAAGATATTAAAAAGGCTGGACCTAATAAAAAATAATATTAAGGTGTTAGATGTATTAGAAAAATAAAATAAGACCACTGAATAAATTTAAAAAAATAAGGTAACAGATTTACCATTACCCTTAAAAAAAACACCAGCATGATGGGAGCTTGCAATCCCCATCCTTCCACATCAATCAATTGAAAAAGAAAAAGCAAGACAAGAAGTCATGTGCGTTGCGAATGCCGAATGCTGATTTTGAACTGGACCCAAAAAATCCACCGCAGGTAGGGACCCACCAAATCACAGGTGTTGGGTTCTTCCGTGTCGGGCTTCGAACACGTGTCCGGTATAACCAACGCCACTCGTGTTGGCGCGGTAACATTAGACGCCGCCCGCCCTCTGTGTTATCACCAGAACGTCAACGTGCATTGCCGCGGGCGAGGGGAAGCAACCCCAAGTCCCAACGACTTTTGCCCTTTGCCATTTATGGATGATATCCGGTGGGCCTCCCACCGTCCACTTGTCTATTTATTTATTCCCATCACTTATTTATTTATTTTTTAATTTCAATTTATTTTATCCATATCCTCCGCTCTCCGCTCTCTGGCATATATGAACGAAGTCAAGGTGGGGAAAATATCATTTGATTTTTATCAGTTAAATTTTTTTCGCTACGACATCTGCTATAAAATTTAGTTTTGGCTTTTGAATTAGGATAAACTTTTAGATGAACAGAGGATCAAATCATTGAAATCATGTGCCGTCATCAATCGATACTAAACAATATTCGAAGGCAAACCGCCCGGCCAATGATACCCGTTTTACTATCAACCTCCCCGCCCTTTCGCCGCGTCTCTATTCTCTCTCTAATGGTCATTGCTTGAATCAGGAATATCACTTGCTCCTGCTAAAAAGCCGGGCTTATGACTTTTTTATTATTTTTTCTTCAATGATTTTCCTAGGCCTTTGTTTTCGTCTGTTTATATCTATAGCACGCACATTTATGTTTACTCATGAATGACAACAATGTGCGCTCTCGGAGCTAAGCGGGTTCCAACTGCGGTGCTCGGATAGAAAGAGTGGACGTGTGAGGTTGAAAACCTTGCAAAGCTTTCTGCCAAATCACTAAATTGGGTAAGTTTGCTCACCTATCTTCTCTGATTGTTTCCCCATTCCCTTTTATTTGAAGTGGCAACTGTGGCATGCTGCGTGTTTTGAAACGCAAGGGCTTTCCGATTGTTGAGATACGAAGAGAGGAAAAGAAATTGTATGATTCATGTGACCAAGTAGTAGTCTTATGTTTCTTTTTGGGATTTGTTTTGGAAGTTGAGAAAACTGGGGTATTTTTTCTGAACGAGTGAAAATCTCAGTTATTATGCCGCTTTGCTCAACTAGAATCAAACAGTGTAAGAGCCCTTTTTCGTTTGGGTAGGGAGTTAGATTAACGGGGTATTGGAAGTTTTGCTTGAGAAATATAAGAAAATATATCTGTGCCAATATGAATTTTGAAAAATGTATATGTATTCTCTTCATCAAGGTCTCCACTCTGAGGCTTGTAGATAGAAAAATTTACAGTGAAAGAGCTACTTGATTCAGGCTCAACTCAAATTTAGATTAGTTGGGAGTTTCGAACACTAGATAGTTTATTTCCGAAAATAAGAATGTACCTGCAGTCTAGTCTAAAGAATTTCAGGATGGTCCTTGTAACTGCTTGTCCTTGAGAATTTAGATTCTTGTCATCAACTGTCAGTGATTGTCTAATTACACTTTATTCAGCGTTTGTGCTACGAGTATCAGGGGCTCTTTTTCTTATGTTTATGTCAAACTATTCTGCCTTGTTTTTAGAAGGACCGATTTTTATACATCTTTCTTTCTTTTTTTAGATGGAATATAATAGTTGGCCAAAAAAAAAGATGGAATATAATAAAGGGTATAACTTATGATTTCCCCCCTGATTTATCTATTTTCCTTGGTATTATGTTTGGAAGACTTTCAGGCTTTATGTTTCAAGAGTGTTTTTGCGGCAAATTCACCTGTTTGAATCAATCCGATGCTAGCATGTAGCCACTGGCACAATCGGACAACAATGACTACAACATTACTTTTCATTATGAAAGCAAAACTACCAGTACCCAACTTTTTGTAACTTATCATATAAATGCTGCTTTTTGAGTTTTTGTATCATCTTAGGTATTAATTACTTCTTAGAGTAAAATTAATGTTATTTGCAGAGAGGTTATAAAAAAATGTTATTTGCAGACAAATGTTTATACTCAGTAAATTTTGAAGCTGAGTAAGTATGATGAATTTATGGCGTAAGAATCATGATGCGTGAGATACAGGACCACTACTTTCTGTCCCCAGATCAATTATCTAATATATAGCTGCTTTCATTACAGTTTCTACTTGGGATGGGTTTAGAGGAGACTGCGGCAGATATACTTGGCAAAAAGGACCATGCTTTCCTATCAAGCACCTTATGCATGCATGCTTTCTATGATTTAACCCATGTCTCGCCAGTGGTATTCTTGTTCCTTCTAAAAGAATGTTATTTTTATGGTATGATTTCTCCTCCTTGCACTACCACTAATTGCTGTTGGATTGTCTGCGAGCATGATTAAATGATAATTCTATGTCGTTGCTAAAATGGTTTGAATCAATTTCTTTAGACTGACAGACATCAATGATCATATTCAGATAGTTGGTAGTTCATTTCCCTCTATATTCTGATTCTTGACATGTGCCTTAAATGACCAAAGCTGCATTGATTGGTCCATTGCTCCAGAGATTTGATTGTCCTTCCACAATTCTACTTGTGTTTCTAGATTCGTATCAGATGAGAAGCTCTCTCCGGTCACCAATTTTAATTATGTCAATTAGGTGACCACAAACTAGATCCTTATGAACATTGCAGTGTTCAGACATTTGCTATCCTCTTTTATAAGCCATAGCTTTTTTTTTTTTTTAAAGGTGAACAAGTGATTTTGAGAGAATTCGTCACACCTGTGTTAAATGAACTTGCAGAAGGTGATATTACCTGCTTCCTATAGCAGAAAGGACATTTTTTCAAAGGCTTGTAGTTTACAGTTATTAAGAATTTGATTTTTTTTTGCATATCACAGTAAGAACTAAGAAGTCCTTGATAAAGATAGTCTAGTATCGTCTTCAAGTTTTAACTCTTTTGACCATCAGTGACACCATGCTCTATTCTAATTGTCCCCAGAAGTATTTGTTAAATAAAGGATCATATTTTTAGACTTGATGTGGCACTGTTTCATCAAGGTGTATAGCATTTCTTATTCTTTCAGTTTCCTCTTTCCAAATGACATTGGATAGGCACATGTAAAGCAACAGCCAAGTTTCGAGCCCTTCAACATCAGGTTTATCTGGTGCTACATAATGATCCTAAACCAGGACCAGCAACTTTTGTTGTTCAATGCCTGTACATATCGCCTTTATTTGAAGATCACAGTCGAGGCTTTAGTCACCTGGTTATATCTGCTTTTTGCCGCTTCCTAAAAGTAGCAAGAACCTTAGAGGACTCCTCGGAGATGAAAGACTTAGCAGCCAATCTATTCCTTAATATTGTTAGGGGGCAGGTTTATCATGACGAAAACATTATTGTGAAATACTGGAAGTTTTTGATGTTAAATTGACTGACATTCAGAAAGCCATGTGCCAACTGAAAGAAAAGAACGATTCAAGTTTTGGCAGAGCAGAGGAATTTATCAAGCAGTATATTTTTGGGTTGGTAGAGTCTCAAATGTACATCAAAGCTGTCACACTAATGGAGCACTTCTCCATCCGTC